TAAGCCTGTCTGTTTTAGGAGATGCAGCTTTGTGTTTGCAAGGCTGTATGTGCGGGGAAGAGAATGTGTACGAGGTATTTGAGGGAAAGTTTGGTTCATAATTTGGAGCTTGAATTATGTGAGTAAATGGGATTTGTGTAACCTATACCAAGCTTGTTAACTCCAACTTTTAAACTAGTCAAAGCAGTGAGAATGTGACTTGAACATCTGCCTTTTAATGAGAAACTCACAAGAAACGAGGTTTCCTTCATGTGCTGTGCATGGCGAGTGTGTCACTATTTTCTGAGAGTTGGAGGGATATAAGGGGACATCATACAGGTTCTCTAACCTTTGGACTCTCGATTCAATTGACCCCCACGCACCAGTCTGAAACAGGCCCCCTCATAAGAATCCAATTCCACTTCCTGGCCTATGTAGAGAAAACTGGCCCGGCGAGCTCTGGGATTGGATGCCCTCTCATGAATATTTAATTGCCACCAACCATCTGAGGCGGAGGTTTCGTAGAGGAGGGGGGGGGAGTAGGTACCAGGCTGCTGGGGGTATTGGAAGGGGTGCCCTTTTTACCAGACAATGCAAACACACATTCCTGTCTCTCTCTCTCTCTCTCTCTCTCATCTAGCCACCTTTGCATTCACTTGCACGAGGTGAGGTTGCTTCACAGCGAACAAGTACACACCTTTTCCATCCATCCATCTGTCCATCCATCCATCCCCCACCCTTCTCCTCTGTGCTGTCATGCTAAGCGATGCCCCCCCCCCCTTCCCTTTCCCCTCCCCAGTTGATTAGCGAGCTCTTCAGTAGCCTGTCATGGCGGATGTGCTCCATCAAAGCTGATCGACTCCTCGTTTTTCCAGAAAGATGTCGCGGGTTATCAGTGCGCGCTCAGATCTCCAGCTACGGGAGGAGCGTGACTGGCAGGCCGTCTTTTGAAGACAGTGATTCCTCCACTGATGCCTCCCAGTTGGAAATTTAGAATCGTGTCTGCTAAGACACCATATGCAAAGTAAATTACTGTACAGGGGCGAGCCTGACTAAACCCTCCTCTCTCTGAACGTCCTGGCCACTGAGTGCCTTGAAGGCAACCTGGCCTCCTTTGCTCTCAACCCAACTTTTCTTCTCATTTGTCTGTAACTATCACTCGTCCACTTTCAAAATGGACAGCAGCACAAACCCAGTCAGTATCAGCAAAATCCATTAAACACATGGCGAAAAGAAATTCATAAACATAAGACTTCAATTTTTAACATCTACTTGGGCACACGTTGCATTCATTTACATGCAGTGAGCCTTGGTGAGGAATTTAATTGAAAGGGCAAAGGGCACACAAATACTGATTAATAAATTAATAAATGCAAGCAAAAGCTTCTGTCGCTATAAAACAGCTCCATTTTCTCCAACTCCCCATTATCATGCAAATGACATTGCTGGTTACAACTGTATGTCTTTGTAGTGGTAAAGTGTTAATTTCAGTTCAAAGGCTGTGGCAGTATTCTACAGGGAGAGATGGAAGGTAAGATGGAGATGGAGATGGAGAGGAGAGGAGTAGGAGGAGGAGGGCGTGTGCTGAGTGGTTTAGCCTGGCTCAGCCTAGCTCTGACCCGGCTCTTTGTGTTTCTATTGTCTCCATGGCGAAACAGTATTAGAGTGTCTTCTGCACAGGGCTAGGTGTGTCCTTAAAATAAAGAACGAGGCAGACAGTGCTGCTATAGGTTTAAAAATGTCAGCTCCTGGCTTTACCTCCTTACTTGTTCCTGAGGAGTCAGTCAGGTTCCTCCCAGAGTGCTTTTTGTGTGTTCAGTGACAGCACACGGCAGCAAGAGGAGGGAAATGCAAGTTGCAAGTGCAAGTTATGACACAGCGTCTTGGGTTACTGAGATTCAGAACTGCTTTAATGACAGATTTTAAACGACACCGACACTGACAGAGATCAAAAAGTCTTTCTGGTTTTAGCAGCAGCTCAGAGTCTGATTGGTTATACTGAAGGGACAAGATGAACTGAAGATGCTGGTCTGACAGGCGAAAGTGAGTCATACGGAGATTACGGATGGACACAAACAGATATTTGTGCATACAGACAATTCAGCATAGACTTTCACACCGAGCACTCCAGCTCCGTCTCAACCACAGGGGGACACATCCTGCGCGCACATGCCCACAAACATCCATGTATGTATGTATGACTGCAGCCCCTGTGACTTCCTTAAATAATGGGGGGCATTGTCATTTCTTTGTGAGCACAAACACCATTAAAATCGTCGACAGCGCTGATGGGGGCGAAAAGAAAAGACAGATAAAGGGCCGGGGAGAGAAAGAAAGCCATTCTGCTAGGACTGGTGGCGTGTACAAACAGAGAACATGGCTCCTCTTCTAACAGTCGTACACTAGTGCGTGTGTGTGTCTTTTTATGGGGAGGGGTGGGGGTGTCCACCATACGTGTGACAGTACTGAATCAAACAGTAGAAGATTCATTGTAGTTCTCAAACAGTGCCATTGTGTGTTTTTCTTGGGTAGCTGTTGTTGCAGGGCCTCCTTTACTATGTTTGTGTGTGTGCGTGTATGTGTGTGGCAGCATCATGGACACTCCTGGAGATGAAGCGCCCACCCTCCTGTCGTGATCCCACCACTGGGGCTGTTTATCCCGTTTAAGGCCCGCCCTTCGCTGGGGGAAAGACAGCTCAAACGACGCTTGTCACAATCCCTCGTCGTCTTAAATGGCTGACAAACATCAGCTTTTTGTAATGGTGGTGCATCACAGAGGTTCCTTGCAGAGGAACCTTTGCTTTTCTTCGAACTTTTATGTAAACCTAATAGAAAGACCAGCGAAAAACAGGAGTAATCGCTGAGCTGGGCACAAGGGATGTTAGCAAGACAGACTGACGCAAGATGGAGGTGTAAAACAATTTCCGCTGATGAAATAAGAGATCAGAACCATTTCTATATGATCACTCGTGTTATCATTACCGTATCAAGCGAGGCGCGGCGGAGGGAGGATCTAAATGTGATTCAGGTGGAAACGTTTCAGCTCTCACAGGACAGTCAGGCTGAGGACGTGGTTGGTGTAGGAAATGAACAGGGACACCCAAAGACTCGATCCTCTCTCTGGCAAACAGGAGAAGGCACAGAGAGCTTCAAAATCACTTTTCAGACATCAAATAATTAATTGCTCTCCCCCCCTTGCACACTTCCCCCTCCGTTTCTCTCCCAGTGTCTGTATGGAAGACACAGCTCCAGTCACTTAAGGAGGGTTAACACCCGTCTAAATTAAATATTAAAAGGTGTCTGTACCTGCTGCTATTGTTGCCCCTTGGAATAAGATATAACCTATTTTTGACAAGTTTTCATCCTCAGCCTTCTGCGGCGAGACGCTTGTCGAAAACCAAATCAGCGAATGGGGGAGTGGTAGCGGGGCGTGGGGGGGCATTGATGAATAATCTAGTTCATATTCCAACGACACCCGCCGCTCACAGGGAGAGAAAGAAAGGGATGAAGAGAGGGAGAGAGATGGGCAGGTGGAGGAAGAGGGAGATGGACAGAGGAGGGGAAGATAAAAGCTGAGTGGGGGGGAGTGAGGGATGAGTGAATAGTGGGGGAAAAAAAGGAGAAAAGGAGGGGAAAAAAGGGAGGAGTGGCGGATGATAGCCGACGTCTGCCAAGGTATCACATGACAGTGCTCCTGTTTAAATAATAAAACAGGACGGGGGCTCTAAACAAATCGTTATCTTCCCACTTCCATGCATTCTGCCTTCCCTCTGCCCCTCCCTCCCTTTCCCCCGCTTTTAAAAACTTGTTTTAATGCCATTTCTTAATGAACATAATAGCTCGGTGCTAATAATGAAAAGAAAATAAAAACATCTAAAAACGCAGAGGGGCCCCCGAGTTGTCGCCGGCGCTCAATTATTTCCTTGTCAAGTGGGTCTGTTTTTAATGAGGCCCTGTGGGACTGACGTCTGTCAGTCAGCCCTGACTTTTTGACACCATTACAACTTCAAATAGAAGCCGCCGCCACGCTGCCTTCCACCGCTCACTCGCTAGCTACTGCTCCGCTCATCTGACAGGCTGGGAGGGAGGGAGGGGAGGACAGGGAGGGGAGGAGGAGAAAAGGTGGCAGGAGAGGTAGAGAGAAAGGGAGGGAAGGGGGGGTGGCAAGAGGGATGGGGAGGGAGAGAAAGACAGAGAGATAGAAAGACAGAGGAAGAGAAGAGAGCACATCGGCACGTAGGTAGGCTGCGCGCGCGCACACACACACACACACACACACACACACACACACACACACACACACACACACACACACACACACACACACACACACACACACACACACACACACACACACACACAGTGCTCTGGGTGAAAAAACAATCACTGAGGGTCATTACCAGATGAGGTTTGTCAAACTGCCAGGGATTTCAGCCCCCCCCCTCCTCCCCCTCCTCCACCCCCCACCTCCATGCTTCCTTGTTCACTTCCTTCCTTCTGCCTCCTTTTTTTCTTCCTTCCTTTTTTCATTATTCCTTCACTTTAATGATAAGTCTTGGTGGGTCGGGCCCCGCATGGGACGGTCAGAGGCACACTATTTTGTTGGCCATTAATTTGAGGCTTTGAAGCAGACGGTGGCGCTGCGGCTGGTGAGGGCCTGTGAAATGGTGGTTGGTAGGAGGGGGGTGTCGGAGAGGGGTGGGGTGGACGGGCTCACCACCTCAACACCCCTGCATCTTCAAAAATGAAGAGCGTGGCCCTGAAACGGAATAGCAAATGTCCTCGCCGGGAACCACCACACCGACCACAAGAGACACACGCGCACTCCAATACTCCAACCCTGTGTGTGTGACTGGATGTGTGTGTGTGTGTGTGTGTGTGTGTGTGTGTGTGTGTTTGTGGCATGCACAGCATTACCTTCATGTATCTCAGCTTCTGAAAATTCTCCAAATATGCTCTTAAATTTAGATTTTTCCAAGACCCCCCGAAGAATGGCTTTCCCCAGAAGAATTAAACAGCAGTAAACTCACACACACGTTTTTTCAAACACCTGCAAATGTATCACATCGTCAGCCAGCGTACAGATAAACACAGAAACAAGGACTGCATCACAATCTTCAGAACTTGACAAGAAAAATATAGAACAAAAAGAACAAGTTCTAAAACGAGTTAGATCCATTTATAAGAACAGAAGAAGAAAAAAAACAACCTTTAAGACACAAAACTTGAAATCCGCACATTTCAGTTGGTCCTGGTATAATCACTGAACACCCAAAATCAAGAAAAAAACAACATGTTACTAATGTTAATTCTGAATAACTTCATAAAATATACAGTTCTAGCACAGAAACTTTAATTGAAAACTCATTTACGCCTTTATAAATAAATAGTAAGAGAATCACTTGTATTGAGAGCAAAACACTATACATGATGTAGATTTAAATATTAGTACATACAGTTTCATTTCTACAATTTTTCCACAATGATAGCCGTGTTAAAAAGTCCATAGGAATGAGTTGTGGAAATCTGAGTTTGGGAGGTGCAGGGGAATTGTACCAAATGTGGATTTTTTAAAGTGGGTTATAATGTCTGAAGAAATCTTTCTCTGTATTGTATTTATGTAATGCACGTCAAGGTTGGGGTCAGGTCCCTTTTGTATTGAAAACATATTAAAAAGTTTTTATTTTATTTGTTCAATCTCAAACTTGATTGAAATCTTCATGTATCCTCTCCTGAATGCAGCGACCGAAAATAAACAATTTCCTCTAAGGTAAGGTAAAAATACAACTTTTACCTTGACTGAACTTTAGTTGAACTGACCTCAACCTTTTTATGTGCATCGTCTCTTTTCAAGGAAGCGCCACTTGTCTATTTTGGGCTTTGCTGAGTTTTAAAAGAGTATGAACAGCATATCTTATCTGAAGGCACTGTCCTCTGTGCTGTGTAGGGGCTACTAGCGAACAGCTGAATCATTTAGTTACAGAAGCTCATACATACTACAGTACGTGTGCCTACTAACAGTGTGGGCCCCCGAATCCATGACTGTCACTCATGCACATGCGTGAACCGCTCTTGTACAGTCTCTCATGCAAGCACACACACAACCTGAATAACACTTGACCCACCTCCATCAAAACATAATCTACATATCTGTATCTGCTTTGAGTTGCAAAAAAAAAAAAAAAAAAATCCCCATGCCTCGTTCACCTGGGTACAGGATGGGCTGCAAAACCACACTGAGGACGACACCATGAAAAATATGAACTATCATAAAAACATCTCCCCCTCAGTCTTTTCCCTGGAGATGTTAGAAAGAGAGCCTGACAGAGAGAGGACAAAACTGAGAAGAGAAAAAGAACAAGAAGAAAGACAGAGGAGTGTAAAGTGGGAAAAAGCAGAGAGGGGAAAGAAAGAGAGAAAGAAAGAGCAAACAGGAAAGGAGAAAGAGATGGAAAAAAGCTCCCTGTCAGGCTTTGGAAACAGTGATTCATGGGGACCATTTGTCCTAATTACAGCAGAACAACGCTTTTGTCGCTATTAATCACGTGTGTGTGTTTGTATTTGTGTCGGGGGGGGGGTGAAAGTGTGTGTGTGCGCATTTATGTGTGTAGAGGGGAGATCAGTGGCCTCGCACATTGAAATAGATAGCCAGGATGATGGTGAGAAGGATGATGGCTCCGAGGGCGAAGACCAGGATACGATTCTGGATGATCCTGCAGAGAAAGAGAGAGAGAAAGAGAAAGAGGGAGAGAGATCAGGCAGGGTTCACAGAAGTCATATTGTGCCTACAGAGAAAAGAAAAGACGTAAAACGGTCACATGTTTATGTGCAAATTAAATGACCAGCCATCAACTGGAGGCTTATCATGTTTAATAACTACCATGAGGTCTGCATTCATGGTATTTACTGGTATACAACCACTGGCACGGGAGTGTAAAACACACACGCAATATTTCCAAAACTGCTACACTTTTGTGCAAAGCTGCTGTCTGAAATGTCTGACAAATTATTTCTGACTTGCATACACACTTGTAGCCTCTATAAAAATGTCTCACTGACACGTACACGCATGCGAACATACAAAACACTTACAAACAAGCATGACACACAAACAGACGCGCACACAGGCTCTAAAACTTTATTTGCACAATAAAGTGGAAAAAGTGGCTCAGTAGTTTCCTGGAGGTAATAAAATCAGTGAATTACTGATGGAATTTGCCATAAAACGACTCACTCCTTTGCACGTTTAAATGTTCCCACTGTGACCTAAGTAAACTTGACAAGAGGGGGCTTTGAACCAAAAAAACACAAAGCTGCAACAAAAAAAAAAAAAAAGAAGAGATGGAGAGAGGTAGTGAGTCCCGGCGTGCAGAGGAAAGTTCCAGGCCTTAGCATCAAGAGTGAGAGCAACTCATCTCATGTGCCTGTTCCCCAGAAACTCTCCAGAGTTTTCATCACCACACACGCACGGACACACACACACACACACACACACACACACACACACACACACGCACGGACACACACACAGCACGCCGACACACACACACACACACACACACACACACACACACACACACACACACACACACACACACACACACACACACACACTCCGTACCCTCCGCTGCTCCTGACAAATGAGAGAATTATCACATTTGCTGACATGTGGAGGGGTGGAGGAGAGGCCGGGGAGGGGGGGCACTGTCCACTTCTCTAAGCAGGAGATGAATAGCCCATGCTGTGGCCATTTATCACTGGGGAGGGGGGGCAGGGGGGTGCTGGCTGGTTGCTCAGTCACCCTGCTACCCTCTAAAGCCCAAGCCTGAGCCCGACACACCAGTCGAAGCTTAGAGCCTCCTCCAGTCCACCAGCTCGGACCTGCGGTAGCCTCAACTAGCCACTTAGCTTAAAACCCACAGCTATGGAAGAAAGGACGACAGAAATATAACACCACACAGCGTTGTTATGTATCACAGTAGTGCTTTTATGCGTATGTCTTTGTATTTCCCCTTTGTGTGTGCTTTTTGCAGAGAAGCGTAGTTTTTTTTTTGTCTACTTTGCAACTCTTTTGCACAAAGGTAAACTCTCCAGCCACACAGCCACTCCAGAACACATATTTATATCCACGGCTGTATATTAGCTGCACTGGTTATTTTCATGAGCTCCTAAAAACTATAACCAATCACCTGTACGTCTTTTCAGTGACTGGATAACACCAGAGAGCTCATTACAACTACTGTTTGTAAGTAGCACTGCTTCATAAGTAGACAGTTTATCCTTGAATAAATGCATACATTACCATGACAGTGTCATTCTGTATATAGTAAACCACGTATTTTTTAGTAAAAGTTATGGTATATTTTATTATCCTGCTGCTACAGGTCCTGTCTGAAGCCATGCTGAGGTTTCCTCTGTCAGGAGAACACATAAAAACAACAAATAACCCTAATAAAAATAAAATCATCATACTGCATATGTCATTTGCCTGTATGTCTATGTTGTGGTAAGAGTGAAAGCAGTATCAGGGATGCTGTGATAGTGGAGCGTGATGCCAGTGTGTGGATGAGGCTGAAATGATTGGTTGAAGCCAGCTGGGGAGGAGATCCCACTGAAACACTAATCAGAGCATGCTTAGCAAGGCCACGTCTCCCCCTATTAATTGACATTCATTATTTAGAATGATTATTTATCCCAGCCAAATACCCAGAGGAGGTGCTTGTGCGTATGTGCGGCTGCATGTCTAAGTGTGTTGGGAGAATCCAGATCGCTTTGTGTTGTTTGTTACTTTTTCAGCTGGGGAAAAGAGGGGAGGTTGACTCGTGGCCTGGGGGTGGAAAAATGAACAGAAAGTTAGTTTTAGCCTCACGGATGAGGAGGGGAGGGGTTCGATTCTATAAAAATTGCATTCATTAAAAAAAGGAGTCTGGTTTGGTAGCAAACAACGCTGAATAACTTCAAACGCGATGTTCAAAGCAGTAAGGAATATGACAGTGCTGCGATTCAAGAACTTCTTCTCAGGGGACAGATATTTAAAAAAAATACTTTCTTTGACCTAAACTGATTCTCTGTACACCAATCTAACAAAACATGTCTTGAAGTCTAATGTAAAGTAGCCCATCTTATTTGTGGTTACTCAAACACTAAAACAGAAGCTTGATACAAATTTAGCACTGCCCACTCAAAAACTTTAATCTACTAAAGCAGATATAATATTAAAGGTTCAATTCAATCTTGCTACAACTCAAACTCTATAAAGTATTCTAACTGTGTTTTTAAATCCACTGCGAGTGACAAAATATCAAGTTTGAACCAGTAATCAAAACCTCCCACCTCTTTTCTAATGCTCGCAATAATTCAAGTGAAACTACAAGAGCTTGTGAAGGTTATGAACCAAGGGTTACCTTTGACCAGAGGACCTGTAGCCTTACACACACACACACACAGACAGACAGACAGACAGACAGACACACACACACACACACACACACACACACACACACACAAAGATCTAGCCAGATGGACTGGGAGGAGTTACATGTAGGGGAGAGGGTTGCAGTCATAATTCACTTGAGCAAAGTTAAAATCCATCTGAAAAAAATAGTGCCTGTGACACTGTAAAGAGCAACAGTCTTTTCCTCTGACAGCTTGAGTAGCGAGGATATTAATGTCATCACTCTCCTTTAACCACCACAGAGGTGAGAAGCCTGGAAAGTCACTACTTATGTTACATTTCAGGCCTGGGAAGGAAATTATTATTTTTCTATTCGAATCATAAGCACACAAAGTGATAGAAAAACGGATAAATAATTAAGTTATTTTACTCGTTCTATAATCTTTTTTCCGTTTAGTCACCAACAACTGGTGTCTATAAAAAGAAAAAAATCCCAGGGGACAGATCATTTTCATAATCCTCTGGACAACTCATCTGCATACTGTCACTTGTAGATTTAATCTACAGATTTAGATTCTATATCCACTTTACATGAGCTCACTAGTCAAATGAGCTTCTACGGTAAAAGTCATTTTAGTTCCTGTTTCTATTCAAGCAGAAACAGAAGCAGCTAAAATAAAACTTATCCAACAAATATAGAACACCTGCCCCCCCAAAAAGAAATAAAAAATCCCAAAAATTGGGAGGTAGGAGAGTGAAGAACATGGTTTTCCTCTGCCGTATGGTTGATCCCGTCCTGACACGTGGCCAGACAGAACAGAACTTATCAAACCGGATCCATCCTCCAGCTTTGACACTTGACATAGAGGTGGGGGGTGAGGTGTGTGTGTGTGTGTGTGTGTGTGTGTGTGTGTGTAGGGGAAGGTTTGAGGATGTGTGAGTGATGCACACAGCACACGTACAAGTGTGCAGATGTACATGCTGACCCACATATACACACTCCAACACTTGCACACACGGCAAGTTTGAGTAGGCTTACCTTTACCCTGCTCCCTACTATGATACTGTTTATGATCCCCAAGTATACTCTCTGTCTCTAACCCCCCCCCCCCACACCTTTGAAAAAAATCCCCTACTCATATGTAGACAGACCAACAGTAATTGCAACTGAGACGCCAGCCAATAACAGCACATAATACTGGTCGTTCTATTGGCTCCTGATGTTCCTTCATCGCAGGCAGCCAGTCAGCTAACACCTTACTAGACGGGAATACACAGATATACAGCACTAATGTTCGAGAGAGAGAGAGAGAGAGAGAGAGAGACACACACACACACACACACACACACACAGAGACAGAGAGAGAGAGCAACAGAAAGAGTTGAAATGATGAGTGCAAAGAAGAGCAAAAATAAAGCAAGCAGGAAGGACGGAAATGGACAATAAAGCAGCTGAGAGTGAAAAACAAGAAAGAAAGAGCGTGAAGAGACAGAAATAGAGAGGTGGAAGGAAACAGGGAGAGTGAGAAAAGAAAGACAGAAAGACAGAGAGATAGAGAGAGGAACGGAGAGAGAGAGAAGTCCGTTTACCCGGGGAGGCAGAGCTAGAGGAGAGGCTCCTCGGAGACAGATGAAAATAATGAGGACTTTTCTGTCAGGAAAGATTTACAAAATCGTACCAGTGTTATTAAAATTTAAAATCTCCCGTTTTTTTTTTCTTTTTCTCCCTTCCCACCCTCTTCCTCCCTCCCTCTTTTCCTTTCCCTGTTTTTTTCCCTCCTCTTCCAGCAGCACAGCCTTATTACCAGCTCTAATGAGCACCGGGATACACCTCAGCTTGTGTGTGTGTGTGTGTGTGTGTGTGTGTGTGTGTGTGTGTGTGTGTGTTTGTGTTGAGGTCCAGGTCCCTAGTGCCAGCTCCATCAGCGCCCCAGATTCCCCAGTCCCTTCCATGACACACACATCTGTGTGTGCCCACACAAAACACACAAGGTTGGACACACAGATACACGGTGACACACGTGTACACACAGGCACACACACAGTCACATACACATCTTTTGATGGTTCTCAGAGGTGGCTGGACATACATACATAAACACACACACACACACACACACACATACACCTCTCAGGCAGACAGATACACACACACCCCCACCCCCCCACACACCCCCCCCCCCCACCCCAAAACAAAAACAGTCTCAGTCAGACAGACATAAGCAGATAGGCCCAACCCACCTTAAAACACACACACACACACACACACACACACACACACACACACACACACACACACACACACACACACACACACAC